CTATCTCACGGCTGCGACTCATGGTCTGGATGAGGAAGCTGAAAACCTGAAGGAAACCTTTGATCCTGAAAAGGAAACGGTTAGTGACTAATGCTTCAGAACAAGAACCTTACAGTTTTGGGAAGAAGATGGCAGTGGGACATGGTGTTAGTGTGACTGGCATGACAGCCCCTTTCTGAGAGGGAGACACCCTGTTCCTTTTCTGTCACTACTTAACAAAACCTTGAGACTGTGTTACATGGAGGTGGGTAGGTCAAAGAATGGGATTTTCCTTATATGGCCTTTAGCTGTTTTTTGCTCTTTTCTGCTCAGATTCCAGACATTGATCCCAATGCAAAACTGCTGCAGCCTCCTGCTCCTGTCATGCCTCTGGATACCAACTGGCCATTGCTGACTGTTTCCAAGGGGTTCTTTGAAGGAACAATTGCTAGCAAAGGTATTGCTTTATACTTGGAAGGTCACATTAAGTTGGGATATGTAGAACAGAGATATTTGCTCCCATGGCTCCTGGTCTGTTGCTGTTAAACCCCAGATTTGCTGTGTGTTACTAGCAGGGGCTGGACTGCAGCTTGGTATTAACACCATCCTCGGCAAATCTTCTAAAAATCTTTGTTCTTTTAACACAAGATAGGGTTTGGCAATTGGAGGGGAAAATGCTGGCCTAGCTTAATTATTTTCTTAACACCTGGCCGACTCAGAGATGAGTAAATGAATTCCTGTTTTTCTTTTTTAGGCAAAGGGGGTGCCTTAGCTGCTGACATTGATATTGACAATGTTGGCACTGAAGGCTGGGGAGAAGATGCAGAATTGCAGCTGGATGAAGGTGGGTAAATTAAAGAGTGTTTCTTACAGAAGTGAAAATGTGCCTGTGTAGGACTCTAACTGTTTTTCCCCCTCCCCGTGCAGATGGCTTTGTGGATGCTGGAGAAGGCTTTGGAGAGGAAGGTCTAGGTAAAGGGCAGGAAGAAGGAGGTGGATGGGAAGTTGAAGAAGATTTGGATCTTCCCCCTGAACTGGTAAGGGGCTGTTGAGACGATGACGCTTTTGGGAGACTTCTCACTTTTAGCCCAGTTTTAGTTACTTAGGAAAGCAATGACAAGTCATGGTGGGCTGGGGAGGGGGGAAAAGCATTATGGGCTTCATCAGAGGCTTGGCTACCTCTGATATAATCTGGGTGCTGGAAGCTTGCACGCTAATTGCTGCTCTATGTCTTCCCCCAGGATGTTCCTGCTGGTCCAGCAGGAGGGGGAGAGGATGGATTCTTCGTGCCACCCACCAAGGGCACCAGCCCAGCTCAGGTAACAGCACACATCTTTGATTTTTCAGCTTTCTGCTTTCTTTCTGTTTTGGTGCTTTTTTCAGGTTTAGACCTTACTAAAGTTCATCTGTGAACACAACACAGGAACTTGTTAAGGGGCACGGGGGGTGATGAGGGTAAGATCAGAAAAATGTGTGCACATGCACAACTCCTCTTGTATGTTTTTTCCCATCTTGTAGGTGTGGTGTAACAATTCACAGCTTCCTGTTGACCACATTCTGGCAGGCTCCTTTGAGACAGCGATGAGAGTAAGTTACACTTGGAATTCGTGGGGGAAAAAATGCCCCTGTCCCATGTATTTTTATTTCTGATCCAGTCTGAAGCTTTGTTTTGTATTCTACTGTGAATCATTTTATGCATTGATTTCTCTGGATGTAAAGTAAGAGGTTCTGTGAGCCTGAGTGATGATTGCAGTTTCTGTATGGCCCTGGACAGCTTTTACTCAGCACATCAATGTATTCTTTCCAGCTCCTCCATGACCAGGTAGGAGTAACAAACTTTGGACCCTACAAGCAGCTGTTCCTGCAGACCTATGCCCGTGGCCGTACGACCTACCAAGCCCTGCCGTGTCTCCCTACCATGTATGGATACCCACATCGCAACTGGTAAGCAACTGGGTTAGTTCCTCTTCTGTGCTCTTCTCCTGGTGCCATGTACCTCGCTGGGTCTTTCACTCTTTGTTCTGAAGGGAGGAGCCTTCCTGTTTGCTGGATGTTAATAGGAAGTGTGTTCCCTCTTTAGTGGGATTTTTCTGCTGATGGTTAGATGTTGAAGAGCTATTTTTATTTTTTATTTTTTTTTGTGAAAACAGAGTGAGGCAGTCGGGATGTTGTGTTTTGGGATGTCTAGAGAAGCACAGATGTGTATTTTTAGTGGTGGCTGGAAACTGCTGTAGAAGAATGAGCCAGATTTTTCTAGTGTGTTAATGAAAAGAGAGCTGGGCATTGAATGTGACAACTAATGGAAGCACAGGTGCCTTTTATGCTAAGCTAATGGCCAAGAAAAACAGCATGGCCCTGGGTCAAAATGTTGCTGATATTTGCAGCTGAGCTGACTGTGTAATGCAGGTGTGTTGTTGCTGGCCCCTGTATTAGTCCTGCTTGTATCCCCATCCCCTCTCTGCCCCCAGGAAAGAAGCTGGCTTGAAGAATGCTCTCCCTGCTGTGGGACTGAAGCTTAATGACCTGATCCAGCGCTTGCAGCTGTGCTACCAGCTCACTACAGCTGGCAAGTTTGAGGAGGCTGTGGAGAAGTTCCGCTCCATCTTGCTCAGTGTGCCCTTGCTGGTGGTGGACAACAAGCAGGAGATTGCTGAGGTGAGGGGCAGATCTCTTCTGTCCATATTGTCAGCGTGCCCCTGGGGCAGGAGGCCAAATGCTTGACTCCATCTTTCTCTCTCAAAGGCCCAGCAGCTGATCGCCATTTGTCGGGAGTATATTGTAGGACTCTCAATGGAGATTGAGCGGAAGAAGTTGCCTAAGGAGACCCTGGAGCACCAGAAGCGAGTCTGTGAGGTACAGTAACTCTGAATTTCCTCGCTGGGTGCCTGGGAGAAGCCTGCGGGTTTAAAAACGCATCAGGAATCCTGAATTCTATTTCCTGCCTTCGAAGCAGATGTGGCAGTGATTACCTGGGAGGGGTCGGTGTGTTTCTTGGAGCATTTTCAGGGCATCCAGTTTCTCACATCCTTGGTAATGATTGTATCCTCACTTTTCCTCCTTGTCCCTGCTGCAGATGGCTGCCTATTTCACCCACTCCAACCTGCAGCCTGTCCACATGATCTTGGTACTGCGCACTGCACTTAACCTCTTCTTCAAACTCAAAAACTTCAAGACAGCTGCTACTTTTGCTCGTCGGCTACTAGAGCTGGGTCCGAAGCCTGAGGTGGCCCAGCAGGTATGTCTGTGAGGTGCATTGCCAGAAATATTTGCTGTGGCAGATCCTATTTGGACTGCTTCCTAGCTGCACCTCTGGTTGATGTGGTTGCTTTTTGCAGACCCGCAAGATCTTGTCAGCGTGTGAGAAGAATCCTACTGACACCTACCAGCTTAACTATGACATGCACAACCCCTTTGACATCTGTGCTGCCTCTTACCGACCCATCTATCGTGGCAAGCCCGTGGAGAAGTGTCCCCTTAGTGGAGCCTGCTACTGCCCTGAGTTCCAGGGGCAGATCTGCCGTGTCACAACAGTAAGGGAGTCTCTGTTGCAACCCAGTCTGTGATGTTTTCTGCTAGAGAGGATTCCAGCAGCTTCCCCCTTGTGTCCCCCTAACTTAAGTCAGCGTGGGTTTTGGGTCAGTGGCAGGGAACTTGGCATTTGGGGTGGAGCAGTTTGGGAATTGTGAAATACAGCGTAGCTTAAAAATCCCCTCCAGGGACTGACATTGCAGCGATTGGCAATGTGTGTTCTTCAGAACCATCTAGGCTCTCAAGGCAACGTACAGGGTCGGGCTGTTTTGTTTCTTTTGAACGTTAATTATCTCCCTTTTATTCCTCAGGTGACAGAGATCGGCAAGGATGTCATTGGGCTGCGGATCAGCCCACTCCAGTTCCGCTAGCACACGTGCCCATCCCAGGGAGGTGTGGGATCAAAGGGAAATGGTCCCGTTTGACAGTACAGCGTGGAAACTTTCACCTCCCACCATTCCAGCTTCTAGTTATCTCTTCACCTTACCATAGTTATGCCTGTGCTGTGTCTTAACTGCTCTTCCCCACCCAGGAATGCTGTAGCGAGCCTCTCTGCTGCTTCTAAGTAGGGATCCTGTTTCTAACTTGGAATCCTATTTTCACATCTGATCCAGCTGATGTGATGTTTTGTGTATCATAGCTTCAAGGCTTTTTTTTTTCCCAGCAGATAGAATGTGGTTCTTGCTGACACCTTGGTATAGTACAGTGCACTCAGTAGAAACTGCTCAAGAGCCAAGGACTGCCTCTCATGTCCTTTAGTGTTGGGCTCCTAAAAGAAGCGCTCAAAGATCCTGCTGCAACCTTGGCAGCAGGAGGAGTCAAGCCTGGGTACCAAAGAGGGTGGTACTGTCTGGTACAGCCCTGCTGCCCTCAGAAGTGACTGGAGAGCAGCTAGGCAATCAAGTGGTAGTGTTGACTGTTTTGTTGTCCTGGTAGCATTTCTCAACATGATCTGCCTCTTAACACGAATAAAGTAAATTGACTGTCTGGATCTTCCTGTTCTGCAGCTTAGTTGTTCTTACTGATTTACAGTAGATACCACATTACATTTCCTCTTTTCACGTCCCACCTCCCACTCATTTGTGCTGTTAAGCTGCCAGATCTGAAGAGTTCTGAAGTTTCCAGAAAATGGAGGCTACAGTACTGAAATAATGAATCATGCCAGCAGGGGCTGCTTCTGCTAATTATTAGTGTGGAACTGCTGTTGCCTGTGCTCAAAGTGTCCTCACTGGTAAGGCTCCTGTCCTCACCTTCCCATGTGTAGTTGTGCCATTTGGTATTACTGTGGCTTTCCATGTGGTACTTAGCAGCCTGGAGGGTCTTCAGAATCAGGCAGATTGTAGTTTCCAGCAGTGACAAGTTGAACATACATTCTTTCACCAGTGGAGAAGCAGAAACCCTAGAGTTCCTGCTCCCTTGTTGCTCCCTAGTTGTCTAGTTCTTTCTCTAAAATAAAACCATGCCATAAGCTAGGATTTTAAACCTTTATTTTATTCATAAAAAGGGGGAGTGGGAATCACAGAATCACAGAACTGTAGGGATTGGAAGGGACCTCGAAAGATCATCGGGTCCAACTCCCTTGCCAAAGCAGGTTCCTCCCACTCTTAAAGGCGTTCCTTCCAGTTTTGCATGGGTTTTGTTCAAGGAATGTTGGTAGTTGGGGGGCAGATGAAAGTTGCTGGGACTAGTGGTTAGGGGCCTGAACAAGCAGGGCATCGTGGCAGGCCACTGCAATGCCTCCAATGAGGTTCAGGAACTCCTGGAAGTCCAGCTGCCCATCACTGTTCAAATCGAGTTTCTTCATCATCCTGTCCAGGACAGCTGGGTCCCTCTGATTCTGCAAAAAATCAAAGAGATTGGGATCAATGCCTGCCTCGAGGCAAAGGTGTCCTTTGCTGTACACACCCAGGTACAAGCCTGCAGCTGCTGAGTTCATCACTAGCAGCAAGGGTTTGGCAGAGGGAAGCAGAATCCAGCTGGGGCAACTCCAATCAGGCTCTGCTCTGGCTTCTGGTAGAAGTGAGGTCTTTTCCCCTGCCCCCTCCCATGCTCATGTGGCTGGAGGACTCCTGGCCTGGATTTCACTCACCTTTGTGAAGGAAGCCAGCTCAGTGTTCATGAAAGCCAGGAACTCCCTCTTGGAGAGCTTTAAGTTGTCCCCTTCACGCCCTGCGTACCGCTGGAAGACGGCCAGCAGGGACTCGATGCAGCGTTCGGTCTCGGTGGGGGACACCTTGGACTGAAGGAGCAGAGCAAAAGCAAAACTTCAGTGAGCTCTGTGCTTGCAGAAGAGCAGCAACAACTTCCAGAGGGAGGCTGGGCTGAGGGAGCCCTCCTGCCATCCCCTTTAGGGAGCCTGCTGTGCCCAATCTGTCCAGGTGCATTTTTCCTCGGTATTCCTTTTTTTCGTGACCTGCACAGCTCTTTGGTGGGGAGGGACCCAGGGGAGGGGCAGGGAGTGGTTTGGGAAGCACCTGGATGCCTTGGGAGCATGGAAAATTCCCTGGGGAGACACCAGCAGTGAGGAGGGAGGAGGGCTGCTCCCTCTGGTTTACTCAGCATTCTCCAGCATGGCTGAACTGGAAGATAAACCTCCCTTTCCCTCCCCCTGCCCTGTCTGGCCAGAGGAGAAACTCTGAGTCACCAGAGAAAAATGTGAGTGGAGCAGCAGCGGAGTTGGCTCCCCAAACTGCTGCCTGGGCTGGGGGAGCTGGGGTGGCTCCTGATGAGCCTTCAGCAGGGCCATCCAGGCCCTAAAAGCGAGGGAACACCAGGGATATGGGGCTCTTTCCCCTCCCCAGGGCTCCGATTTTTGGGAAAAGGGACCTTGAAGGCAGGGCTGGGTGGAGTCCGCCCTTCCCTCCCTAACCTCAGCATCCTGGGGACTCCCTGCCACATCCTGCCCCGCCTGAGGTTGAATTCAGCCTTTTTTTGGTTAAAGTGGCACCGTGTTGCTTCCTTCCTCAACCTCGTTTTTTCGTCTCATGGTCCCCCTGAGCCCCCCACCCTGGTGCCGTGAGCTGGGTGGAGGCCAAGCCACAGCCCTGAGCCCAGCACTGGGCAGCGGGAGCAGCACTGGAAAGAGGAAGGCGAGGGGAGGGAAGCGACTGTGGGGTGGGGAGGGGAGAGAAATAGGGGGCAAATATCCCCTTGCTGTTTCCCTGCAGCCACGGGGACCCTCTGCTCTCCCACTCTGAACCCCTTTCCAACCCCCCTTTCCCGAGGAGGCTGAGCTCAGCCCTTGGCCCCGTTCCCTCTTCCCAGTGCCAAGACACGTCTCGCTTCCAGCTCGGGGCCTCTTCCCTGAGGGAAACGCTCCAACGCCCTCTCCCCCAGGCCCGGGGTCGTGCTCACTCACCATGGCTGAGTCTCGGGGCTCAGTGGGACCGCGGTACGGTTCGAGGTAGAATCGAGACGGGTGTGAGCTTCGTCTGCCACCGCCCAGCCCCGGCTCAGCCCCCTGGGCCACGTTGGGCAATCGGCGGCGCTAACGGCAGATCCTGACGTGCCTGCGGTCCCCACCTCAGCTTGGGCCCCTCCTTCATCCTCTTCCCTCCTGCATTTTATTTTTTTGTGCTTCTATTTTCTCTTTTGTCCGTTTTTTTTTTTTTTTCCTTAGTTTTGTCTACTCATCTCTATGCTTTTTTTTTTTTTTTTTTTTTTTTTTTTAAACCCAGTCTTCTCAGGGCTGAGCCCTGCATCTGCCTCGCTGCTCCCCACACTACCCTTGGGCCTTCCTCTTCCTCCAGCGACCTTTGGGCACCCCTGAGTGCAGCCCACCCCCCCCCCCCCCGTGTCCCTGCCCCTTCCTGTGCTAACCACCAGGAAAGCTTTGCCAATAACCTGTTATTATTTGCCAATAACGTGTTAACAAGCTCAACCTGTTGTAAAAAGGGTGCAGCTACTCTCTAGGGGTGAAGGCAGCCCCTTTGGGTACTGCTGCAGGTGGGATTTGTCCCAAGCAGCCTCAGTCCCTGTGCCACAGGAGGGCTGAAGATAGGGAGAGGCAGAAGAGGGACAGCAGACACCCAAAGGCAAAGTTTGCGGCCCACCTCACTCCCAGCTGGGGGGCTACGGGGGCAGAAACTGTCCTGCTGGGTGCATCTGCCCCGGGGGTGTCCTCATCCGCCCCCCTAGCCCTACCCTGCCACTCCTCATCCTGCGGCACCAGGGAGGCTGCTGAGACACGTCAGCCTGGCCTTGCCACTGCAACCGCAGTGTGGTGACGTCCTTGGCACTCGGTGTGGATACGGAGCCGCCCGCCCTGGCCCCGATTTCACCCAAAAGCTTTGGGGAGAGAGAGGGGGAGGCGTGGAGTGGAGAGGTTGGGGGGCAACCATCCTCAATCTCATTTCCTTCCTTTCTTTCCCCAGTTCCCTTCCCATATTTTTATCTGTGTATTGGGGAAAAATACCTTCTCCACCGCTACCCTAAATCTCATAAACAGTTCATTGCAAATGAATCAAAAAGATTTTCTGATGCGGGGAGCTGAGGGCAGGAAGGCTTCTGCTCTTTGGTCTGCACTTCCACCTGCGGTTTGCAGCCTCCTCTTTGTGCTTCCTGAGCGCTGCAGCAGTGCTCGCTCCTCCGCCCAGCTTTTATCTCCCCCTAGCTTTTATTTCTCCCTTTGCAAGAGCAAATCCCGGAGGGGCTGTGGCCTGGCCCCAGCCTGGCTGCGGTGTGGGATTTGGGGAGATTTCTATTTCTTGCTGCTGCTCTGTGTGTTTGCGATCAAGGCGCTGGCACCGTTTGCAGACGCACCATCTGTGCTGCCATATGTTTGTCACCGGGACATGCAGCGGCCACGTGCATGACAGAGGGGTGGCAGAGAGCAGTGCCAGCACATCCGTCTGCCCCAGCTGGGACAGACCCCTCTCAGTACCCCTAGCACCACGTCCAAACCATGCCAGGAAATTGGCTGTGGCTGGCTGAGAGTGAAGGCCTGAGTGCTGCATCAGGCTCTGGTGGACCTGAGCTGCCCTTGTTCCTCCTGGCGAGCCCCGGCACCAGCCAGAGAGCACTGGTTACACCTAGGGGCAAGTCCCAGCCACTGCTGGGGTTATCCTCGCTTCTTGCTCTTCTTGCAAAACTGCAGCCCCATCTGCTGCTGAGAGAATTGATTCTCTCTTGCTTGAGAGAAAGGAAAGTGAATTAAATCAGGCTTTCTCCAGTGCGGGGTTAAGGATGTCTCCATCCATGGCTAAGTGCACCGTATGTGGGATCTGGAGCATTTTGCATGCTGTGCCGCTGCCTCTCTACGGCCTGAGGACCCATGAATGGGCCTGCTTGTGGGGAAATCCAGGGGAAAAGGCAAGTGGATACCTGAGGGTGGGAAACTGCACCTGGATGGCTCCTACCTGCCCACCCCTGCATGGATCTGGGATCATAGTGGACACTGGGAGCCCCTGGAATTATGCAGATCTATAGTGAGGACCACAAGGTTAGAAGTATATGGGTGCCAAGACATACAGTAGGGGGGTTTGTTGTAATTTTCAGCAGCCCCTATCTGGATTAAGCGCCTAGAATCAGGAGGCATGGGTGATCCGAACTGGGACACCCTCCCAGTGGGCTGAAGCCCTCGTAGAAATTAGAAGGAAGGATGAAGGATGGCAGCAGTCAGTGCAGTCATCAGCTATTTATTGTGATTTTTCATGCAATACATCGTTCTGAAGTAGAGAATGACCCCCCACACCTACCACCACCATTACCCTTCAGTAACCACAGCAGGACTCAGATGCTTCAAAGCCTCCGTGATGCTGGAACTGGGATTCTGCTCAGTTTCCAGGAGAGCAGAAAGGTGTAACCAAAAGCCAAGGGCCTAAAAAGATGTTTATCCCAGTCTCAATACTTTTCAGACCCCAGAAAGAGTATGGTTAAGCTCCTGGGATTATTTTTTTTTATTATTGCACAGCGGAAGCTAACAAGCAAGAGAGCCAGCCATGGGGCTAGGGAGATGTGAGTGCACTGAGATGCAGAACTGTCATGCCCCAGGGTAAAAGAGATGACAGGGACACAAAGGACTGAGAGACCCAAGGAATCCAATTAGAGCGGAAAAGTGACTAAATACTGCATTGGGGTTGATAGACATGATGCAGGAAGGCAGGAGCTGCAGATCCTGGCATAGCTCTCTGCCTTCCCTGGTTGCTGAGGATGTGTTAGCTGGAAACCCCCCAAAGCCACTTGACACCTCACAGAGCCCCCTGTTAACCCTTTGTATTGAGCACTTCTGTGCCACTGCGTGGTGGCATCCTAAGCTGAAAGCAGAGAGCAGACGTGATCCTCAAAGAGGCTCAGAGAAACCTCATCAATGCCACAGAGAAGATGACCCCTTAAGATGCCTTGGCCTCATCCCTAGCAGGTTGGCTTGTTGCCTTCTGTGAAGCTACAGGGCCGGGGGCGCCCTGGCTCTGCTTGGTGCAAGGATAGGATTCCTCTTCCTGTTGAGGCTGGTCACGGCTAGCTTGCTGTGGGCTCTTCTTGATGCTTTCCTCCTCTTGTGGCTGGCAGCTCCTCTCTGGTGGGGGAAGCTCTTCATCCTCTTGGCAGCAGTCAGCTTCGTCCCTTTGGGGTGGTTCAGGACATTGCTCTTCTACAGCTTGCTGGCCTGGCTCTTGAGCTTTCTGTGGCTCTGAACCCTGTGATAGAGGCAGGCAGCTCTTGGTCTCCCTGTCTTTGCTCACCTGGCAGCTGGATTCAGGCTCCTGTTGGCCCTTCTCCCTGTTGGCTTTTGATCCATCACCCTGGCACTGATACTTCTTTTCTTCCTCATCGGGCATTCTGGGACGCTGGTGGTCTCTCCTGTCCTCCCTGGACTCAACCTGGTGAGTATCACTCTTCACACCATCCGATTCAGGGGCAGAAGCCTGCTGAGATACTACCTTCACCTCTACTGCAGACCTGTCTTTCAACTCAGCTTTCTGAGGCTCATCAAGCTCCCCTGAGTTTTCCTGGGAGCTGGAAGCTGGCAGCTGCTGTTTTTTATGCTCATCCATACCTGATTTAATCCTGCACACATCCTTGCACTGTGGCTCTTCAACCTCGCGTGTTTTGCCATCGTCCTTACAGGATTCTGCATTCTGGGCACTGCTCTCTTTGCATGGCACAGCTGGTGCTTGGGATGAAACGTAGCATTTTCTCACATAGACAGGCTGCTCCAGGTTGTTGGGCTGGTGACAGACAATCTCGTAAGTTGTAGCATTGGGATCATTCAGGTTCTGGATTACATGGATCAGGTACGCAATAGTCTTAGGCTCACAAGGACCAGGGAGCACCTGAACCTCCGGCTGTATGTCAGGGTCAGCAGGGATATAACGGACCCTCATATCAGTAACAGATGAAATTTCCCCTGGGAGACATAGGTCTCCACTATCAACATCAACTGTTTGGTAGAGGCTCGTCCTTTCCTCCTCACTATGGGCCTCCCGTTCTTCTGTGGGGGCACCTCGCTCTTCCCTCTCTCGAGTGAGGCGGCTTCGGCGCTCGTGGACCTCCACCTCCAGGTCCCGTTGGCGATCGAGCCTCCTCTCGCGCACCACGGGCTCTTCCCTGTCTCGTGCGCGGCAAGGCCTCGTCTCGTCCTCTGGTTCGTCGCACTCGCGGGAGCGCTCCCTCCTTTCTCCCTCGTCACGAGGCTGCAGTTCCCGGGACACGCGGTGGACCTTCACGTCCGCTTCTGCGGAGACCTCGGTGGTCTCCCGCGTCCTTTCGTACCTCACGGCTTCACGGCGTCTCCTGGCATCGTCTTCGGGCTCCCGGGTGCGACACTCACGACCATCGCGGGGCTCCCGTTCTTCTGTGGGGGCGCCTCGCTCTTCCCTCTCTCGAGTGAGGCGGCTTCGGCGCTCGTGGACCTCCACCTCCAGGTCCCGTTGGCGATCGAGCCTCCTCTCGCGCACCACGGGCTCTTCCCTGTCTCGTGCGCGGCAAGGCCTCGTCTCGTCCTCTGGTTCGTCGCACTCGCGGGAGCGCTCCCTCCTTTCTCCCTCGTCACGAGGCTGCAGTTCCCGGGACACGCGGTGGACCTTCACGTCCGCTTCTGCGGAGACCTCGGTGGTCTCCCGCGTCCTTTCGTACCTCACGGCTTCACGGCGTCTCCTGGCATCGTCTTCGGGCTCCCGGGTGCGACACTCACGACCATCGCGGGGCTCCCGTTCTTCTGTGGGGGCGCCTCGCTCTTCCCTCTCTCGAGTGAGGCGGCTTCGGCGCTCGTGGACCTCCACCTCCAGGTCCCGTTGGCGATCGAGCCTCCTCTCGCGCACCACGGGCTCTTCCCTGTCTCGTGCGCGGCAAGGCCTCGTCTCGTCCTCTGGTTCGTCGCACTCGCGGGAGCGCTCCCTCCTTTCTCCCTCGTCACGAGGCTGCAGTTCCCGGGACACGCGGTGGACCTTCACGTCCGCTTCTGCGGAGACCTCGGTGGTCTCCCGCGTCCTTTCGTACCTCACGGCTTCACGGCGTCTCCTGGCATCGTCTTCGGGCTCCCGGGTGCGACACTCACGACCATCGCGGGGCTCCCGTTCT